GATGACGCCGATGACGTCGCGGCGAGACTATCGGGACGCTACGTCATCGAGAAACGAGACGTCGGAAATTTTCGGAAGCTCGCGAGAGGAAACGTGAAACGGGGCGACGAAAGCCGAATGCTCGATGGATCGGAAGTCGATCCCGGACGAGCGCAAATCCGGGGCGGTCAAGATTGCGCGGATCGCGGACACCCGCCGAATATCGATGCGGCCAAATATCTCGAGTCCGCGCATTGTTTGCGCTTCAGTGATTTATGGTAGGTCGCCTATGGGGATTTAAAGGGATCGGATCGTGATTCATATCGAGCATCGCGTTTATGTTTTCGTTTCTCGAGCAACCAAGAGAAAAACCGTTCTCCGATTATTAATACCAAATTTGGTAAAAAGTATAAGTTTGTAATTAAATTGCTACAAAGAAAAATATGAAGAGATTATTTAAAATTGAAAAAGATTTAAAAGGATTCAAAGTTAAAATTGTAATAATTAGTTGAAAAGAATACACGCGCTTTTTCATTTAGAACATGTGAATAATGATATTATTTGTGTGAATTTATTCTGTCTGAAAATAATGTTGGTATTTAATGAATAATAGGAAACTTCAATAATCAATTGTTGGAAAATTCAATATCAATTTAATGAATAATAGGAACTTTCAATTTATTTAATTAATAGGAAACTTGTCTCACATTTGATGAGAGCGTTGTTTTACCTATCAATACAAAGTTTATTGAAAGAATTGTGTGATAATAGCGAACAATCGTACACAATAGTGGCCGATGGTTTGTTAAACGCATTCAAATGACGACTCTCGATCATTTATTTTCAGTTTGACAATGCAATGCGCCATAACAATTATAAACTCTAGATGTAACAAAAGTAAAAATGAGTACTTTGTTTCGCGCTTTCGACAGTCTCTGCAGTTGACGGGCCGCAAATTGATTAACAGATAATCAATACATATAAGTTATCATAATGTTTGACATGTTTGTGAAAGCGTCTATAGCACATAAAACTTTCTGTCACAATTTCTATTTAATAACTATAAATATATCACTACTATTACTATCGATTTTAACAAAGATTTATAGAAAATAACGCGCGTCACAAATCTTTTCAGGTATTCCGTATATCAGTTGGAAGATCCTATCGTCGAGCACATAGTATATCTACAGGTTTACGAAAAACGTACTTTAAGGAATGGATCAATTTACTGGGAGGATCTCACTGAAGATTCCGTAGTCAGGTGAGTGAGAAAGAGAGAGAGAGAGAAAGAGAGAGAGAGAGAAAGAGGATGTATGTATGTGTGTGTCGCGATTGAATGTGCGCTCAAGTATATTCGAAGCGGCTCGATAAACTTCACGCTAGACAGATCGTTTATGCCATCAGATTGGGCACGTTCAACAGGCACCATAGAGGCAGTCAAGGTACGATCGTTTTCACCTACAAGAAAATACCGGGGTGGAGGGAGGAGGAGGAAGAGGAGGCCCCTAATTTGGATGTCGTTCGCGATCGTCTTTTGGTGCCATCGTCGGTGACATCAAAAGATTCCGGATATCCCGTCAAAGGTATCGAACCCAAAAGGTTTCAATATCTTTTCCTCAAAATTATAATTAACGAGACACGAGTTCATAATCTATAACGATAGTAGGAAATAAAGTAGATAATTATTCATTGGAAACGAGCGATTTAACGGCTTTTATTCGTAATTAAAGAAAGAGCGCTTTTAATTTCAGACTAATTGAAGAAAAATTTCTTTTAATTTTAGATTTAAAATATATAGAAAATATATAATTATAATCATGTTTAAGAATGAAATCTTTTCTTATTAAAAATCTTAAACATTAATAAAATAAATATGGATTGATGGATACGAAATTAAAATGTATATCGTACAAGATTTCATGCTTTAATTATTGTGTCGTTTAACAAGATTCGCAACGTGACGTAAAATTATAAAAAGTTTGACACTTCGAAAAATGATTTCGTCAATCAATTTCACCAATACATAAAACAACTTTGAGTGACATCGAGTCGACAGCTCGCTTTAATAAAATTATAATTATAATTAAAAATATTTCAAATATAATAAATTAAAATTATAATTAAGAATATTTAAAATTATAATTACAATTATAATTAAAAATAAAATTATAATTGGGAATATTTCCTAAAATATTTCGATCTAGGCGAGGCGAACGAGTATCTCGTGGTGCCGGCGAGCAGCATCAACGAGAATGGTAACGAGTGCGACAAAGCGGGCGTGGGATTCGCGGCGTTTGCGAAGCAACCGGATCGGTGCGGACATGTCAGTGGAACCTGTTTGAAAAATCAGCCCCTGGCCTACCGTAGGCACGACGCGGTACGTATGACAGGTGCAATAAATGAAACAACACTGGAAATAACCTTCCTATCCTCGGGCTATACCTGGCCGGATCCCATCCCCCTTCGTAAGCGTCGAGCGCGCGAGACGCTTTAAGTGCGCCCGCTGCTCTCGCTGTGTAACATGATTTATCGCGCACGAATTTAATACTTATATTCTCCCCCTGCCTCCCCCTCGCGTGAAACGTTACGAGAGGAGATTTGTCCGGGACGACGGGAAACGGACAGTTGCATACAAATCGGTCCGGTGTCCGGCGAGGGATAGCGCGGATTTTTATGTACGTCGGCTCGTTCTCTGTGTGATACGCGAGACGAGGAATTCGACCCGCGTCTCGTTTTTGAACGAGATACCGAATTTGTCTCGCGTTCACAAATGTACGCGCTGATGGTTCCACGCTACGCGAGCCCGTCGTTGTTATGTCGTTTTGAATTATTGCGCTGCGGACTTGGTTCCTCTTTTGGGTTCTATCAAATCGCGTGATCGACAAACGACGTTATAAAACTTCCAACGAAAAAGGATTTTTATCATTTTACAATGATTCTAATTTTATCAATTTTTTTATTATTACTCCTTCTACGAATATTAGCGATCATTTTTATCAAGAATCCGCGAAACTTCATGTCTGTCAAGTATTATTATTAAAATATATATTAATAAATTAATAAATATTAATATAAATTGATATAAATTGATATAAATTAAAATATATTAATATAAATTAAAATATATATTATTAAAAATAATGGAGATGGGAGACTTTTTCCTATCATGGGGAATAGCACCTAAAGCAATCGATTAGATTTCGCCTGTCGAACTATTTGCACCCGTGCGAACTATAATACGTCATCTCGAGGTTTATCGAACGATGGCAGACGACGGGTTACAGATGCGTGTTACAAACGTACGTTTCTCCTCCCCTGTCCGGAAACCACCTCACATTCTCGCGAACATTTCCGCCCAACGGCTGTCGAAGGTCGGACCACCGTTCGATCTAGTGTCACGTGTCGACAGGAAGCTCGCGTCGCCGGTCGACCTGGTTGCTACTTCTTGAGCAATTTCGCATCCGTGCCGAGCGAGCCCATCAAGTACAGTGCGAGCGGAAGTGGAAGCCGCGAGTTTCTCGCTCTGGAGTATCATTCGCCACACGTGTCTGCGATCGACATCGAATTCGGAGCGGATTATAATGCCGCGCTCGCAGGAGGGTGAGTTTCGGGAGGGACGATGCATATTGACCCTCAGCTAAAGGATTGAGATTAGCAACTCTAATTTCACCTATGCTTTATGTTAATTCCCTCAATATCCGTGATTTCTTGATTTCGAATTGCTTAAAGTTACCTGTACTAGATCTCTTTTTTAAAAAAATTTAATTTTACGTTTCATAGCTAATAAAAGAATATAATTTTGAAATAGCATACTCTGCAATATATAATATTTAATGTAAAGATTAAATATTTTTTAAGCTAATAATAATTTAAAAAGGATTATGTAAATATGAAATAAATATCTATAATTAAATATTCTAAAAATTATTAAATATTTAAAATCTAAAAATTAAAAATTAAAAATTAAATTAAAAATTTAATTTAACAAAATAAAATAAAATAAAATATTTAATTTTTAATATTAAAACTCACAAAGTGCTTACAATGAAATAAATATATCAATCTAATTAATGTATCAATGTAAGCTGATGTTTTAAATTGTTTCTATATCATTGAACGATATTTTATAAATTAAATTATTTTTAATATGTCATAAAACTTGAGGATAAATCGAAGATATTCTAATATAATTTTAAAATTCAATTAAATTATATATGTGCGATTATTTTTTTAAATCTGTAAACTTTAGATCCATGGGCCGCATTAGTCAAGTAAACGTGAACAGCACTGCACTCGATCATACTATAATAACGGTCGTAATTACTAATACGGGACTGATTCCGACGTTTTATCAGTCAAAGATCACGGACTGTCCCGATAACCTTCCAGAATCTTGGGTAAACGCTACATTTCCTAAGAGACTAGTTCAACCTCGACGGAACCAAGCAGTGAGCTTGAATCTTTATGGCGAGCTGCCTACAAACGAGTTTTACTGCTCTGGTAAAAAAAATTTAATGACCCACGATAACTAAAAAAAAGATAACTTATGACCGTTTCTAAAGAATTAAACCCATGTTTAAGTAACATTTAATTAATCCTCCTAATTTCTTATTCAACGATTTCCTGTACATATTTTTTTTACGACTCGATTTTCTCTATAAATTTAAACGGAAAATAGAAAAAAATTGATTTGGCAACGCATAAATTATTGTAGTGTGGAGTATTGTACGAATGTTTTTGTCACAGCGCCCTCCGAAATATACGCGAAAGATCGTGCGTACGTGCACAAGTTGTAGATACGGTCGCGTTTCCAGTGCAATTGCTAAACCATCTCGAGGAACCGGTGGCTATCAGGAAGATAAAGATACGAAAAATGGATCGTTGCTTCTGCACGTTGCACTGTTTATGCGTGTGCGTGGGCGACGCACGTGGCACCAGCTGTCAACCGATGCCGCTCGAACTTTATCATGCCGCTGGATTTCGCGGTCCCGTCCCGTCGCATCATCGCCAAATTTTCTCGGACGTAACCTTGGATGTTATGCTTTTCATCGTTTCCTTAATATTGCTTTTGCTTCTCATGGGTTAGTGTAATCGTTTCAATAGATTTAAAAAAAAATTTACTTGCTTTAATATATCTTTTTATAATTCATAATTTTTTTTAAAACAAGCAATTCTATTAATGTGTTATATTTTTAACTTTTTAGCAAAATTGTACATATTTAACGCGATTTGTATACATTCTTAAATTTTAATTAATTCTTATCCTAACATTGTATCTCTGGTACAATTTATTTTATATTTTAACGATATATTATATATTTCGAAGAACTCGTTTCTTCTTTTTCAGGTTTTCTGAAATGGTTTATGGGCTTGTACATTCCGGGGATGGGTCGTTGGGGTTTAGATTCGTTGCTGGAAACCAGCACAATGTCGAGGTACCTTGAACGAGACTTAAGATATTATAATCGAGTGGTGAGGGATGAGCACGGTGCACCGGTGCATCCGGAAACGCGAAGGAGAACCGTCAGGATATGCAGCAGGTAATAAAATACAATAGGTAAAACTGCACAGTCGCAATTTAACGATATGTATTCTTCAGGAAAATGGAATTTTTACTAAACGCGATGTTCTTCCTGATTTTTCCCTTCGCGGTTTGCTGCTATCGTCTCAAGAGATTTTTTCGACTCGACCGAAGACGCTGTTGCTCGAGCGAATCTAAAGTAAGAGCCCTCCTTTTACGTATATGTGTGTCAAGATTAGAATAGAATTTCATGACGCAATCTCATCTCCTTTATTGCGGCACGCGTTCCGCGTCTTTTCGTCTAGATCAGTTTGGCGAGCGACAAGAGCGAACATACGAAAACGATCTGCGTGAACACTTATGGCGATAGTCGCGATTCGCAAATGGAAGCCGAGGACATCGAGTACGTGATGAACGAATTGAACAAGTCTGAGGAATCGTTACGTAATCATAGTAGAAATAAGGTAAGTGTAGGAAAAGTAACACAAAAATAGATAATAATAAAGACAAGTAAAAAAAATGAAAAATTTGTATTTTTAAAATGACATTTCAATCCTTTCCTTTTTAGAAACATCTCCTCTTGCATTCCTTTTTAAAAATATCCAATAGAACATTTTTGTGTTAATAATATCTAAGTATTTTAGTCACATTCCGTAATTAATATCATAATAAATATTTCCTATAACGATTAAAAATTGAAAGAGTAAGAATTATATATTTTTAATTACATTAATCTCAATATTTTTTGATTATATCATATGTTTAATATTTTTTCATTTTTGTATGTCGAAACTTTATTTTTCTGTGTTAATTATCCGAGTGAAAAGTAATCACGCGTTAGTTTTGCTTATGCGAGATTAACAACACTCTGCGGATCGTATATATTTGGCAATCGATTTATCATCATGAGAGTAAAACAAGAGCAAACATATATGTATATATAGAGAGATTAAAGAGATTAGAGTGCAGGGAGATTAGAGTTCCGGATATGTGTAAAATATAGGAAGAACGTAAATGCGAAAACGTTAGCGCGAACGAGCGAGCACGCACGTATGGTGCAGTACGTGATCCCAAAATACTGAATGGGATACGACGACGATTGGTCTGATAAAAGCGATATTTCATTCGCGCATACACGTAATACGCCATTCGTCATGAATGCGCCATAAAGTAGACGTTATTTGTCGTTTTGAGAAAATTGTCGTTTTGAAAATTTTGAGAGAGCAAAATATCCAGATAAGCAAAACTAACGCGTAATATTTATTTTTATTTAGCATTTCTTTTTATATTCGAATATAATTAGACATTTTTATATTTATTATCTCCTGTAGATATTAAATGTTACTTGTCGAAATGAGTAAAAAAATGAGAGATAAAGAATATTAGAAAAAGACAGAAACGATAGCGTTATTTTTATTCTTCCAGAGAAATCGCTGCATAAAAGAATATCGATCGTGTCATTAACACCATTTGAGAAATAAGTTTGACGTGAATTGTCATAGGAATTTTCAGCTTGCAAGATCCGACATTTAACATATATTTATAATTATAGCTAATAATGTCGTTATAACATATGTATATGTCAAATACTATAGTTTAATAAACGTGTAATGATTATTTCGTGTATTTGTAATATTAAACACGACTTGTGTTAATTGAGATTAAATTTATTTATAGAAAAAAGTTTGCAATTTTTCAATTATTTTATGCACTGTGATTACTTTATAATTATTATTATAAATATAAGTATAATTATTATACTTTATTGTAAGCATAATTAATGTACTTTATAATATAATTTTAGTAGTATACTTTATGGTATAATTAATATACTTTATATAATTGTAAATATAATTATACTTTATAATTATTATTATAATTATTATTATACTTTATAATTATTATTAAATATTATAATTATGTTTATGGCGGATCGATAGCTTTTAATTTTGGGATACCATGATGAAAATAATTTATAGCGAAAAATATAATTCAAAAACACAGCCGCAAGTTAAAAGAGCGAGGTAGAAAAAGGAAGCGCATAGAAAGGAAGAAGGGGGATCCAAGAGAGTAATGCGCAATGCGGTTGTGCCGGAGACTCGGAGAATTTGTGACCGCTTCCGGCGGATATCTACGGCACGGGGGTGGGTGTATCCCGGGTCTAACCCATTTTTTCGTTGAGTACTATTTATGTACACCATCTGGATGTAAATATTCATGCGGGATGCGCGCGCATTGCGTACCTAGTCGCGGCGAATCGAAATAAATGTCGGCCTCGGATGTGTTCACCGAATAACGGGATTTCCGCTCTTCGACGGACACTCATCGGTGATTTATTCGTGTCTTCGATACTTCTGTGTATCTTCTGTATCCAAAATAATGTCATCGTAACTCGCGCTTGTCTACTTTCCCGGAAAACGCGGCTGACTTTGGTGATCTTTAACTCCGCAACGAGCAGTCTTGTAATGAAGAATCGCAAAAACTAACGTAACAGAAATGATTCTAAAAAGTTTAATTCAGAGCACTGCAAAAAGATAATTCAAAATTCGTAAAGAAGAATTAGAGAAGAAAAGCAGCTTTATATCAAACACACGAAATAAAAATTTGCCAGATGTGCTTACAATTTACGACGAGTTGTTCTTCAATACGATAAAAAGAAGCGAAGTAGGTTTTTATGTAATTACCATATAAATACCATGATTCGAATGCACACGAATGCGAATTGCATTATTTAATAATATAATATAATTTAATAATATAATTTAATAATATTTAACAATTAATTCAAAAATATATATAATGATATTATTTCAATTGTAATAAGTGAGTATTATAATAGTTAGTATTATAAACAATTATTTTCATTTGTGTAGATTTTATGATATCAGTATAATTAAATCTTAATGATTAAAATTATTTAATTAATTATCAATTGTATTTATTTCGGTCAAATTATTAGTATTATTATAATAAAATTATTAATGTAAATATATATATAATAAGAAATCTCATTTTATGATTATTCATAGATTCCTTGATAATATAATGATTCAAAATTTCAAAATAAATATTAATATACATAATAATATAATTTAAAAAATTAAAATTTATATATATATATATATATATATATCTTACTTTAGTTACTTTGTATTTAATTTCTGTCATGGGAAATAATCATAAAATGTACACATAAAAATAAAAATAATAAGTTGTTTGGAAGTAAAAATAATTGTTTATAAATAGATTGCAATATTTTAGAGTTAATTATAATATTCACTTATACATCTCTAGAAGACCAGATATCAACTATCAACGGTCAAGAGATCACAATTGATTCGCTCACATTTCAACCGAGATTTTATTTAAAATCGCGCGTATGCCCTTTATAAATATGGCGCAACCATAGCACAAAGCGCATGCAAATTTACACACCTGCGTCGACTTCCGTATATGTCTGTGTAAGAACCGGCCCGGAGAAAGGCCGTTCTTTCACCATTGTAATTCGGTAGCCTCCGGCTTCTTTGGATATATATCGGCCATATGTACTCCAATGACCACACAAGAACGGTAAATGGATGGATACAGGCATGAACGGAACAATAGCCATGCTCGGTAACGTGTCTACGGTTCGAAAAGAATGTATCGTCTAGGTTTTCACTATCGGATACTATAGGCTTCGAGTTCGCTCCGCATAGATTGGACGCGAAAGTCAGACAACGAGTATGCGAGACAATTAGTAAATCTTTTTAAAGATCCATATCGTACGTGAATTATGATAACTTCGCGGGAAGAAGATTAAATGCAAAAATTAATAACTGATTTATATAATTCAAGTTTTTTAAAGGATCCCAGCATTCTATATCCATCCAGATATGTCATGATATTCCATCAGATATTTCATCGGTAATCTTTTTTCAGTTTTGTTAAATTTTTCAAAATAATTTAACAATTAGTTGACCTTAAAAAAGTCACGAGAAAATATTTTTCATAAAAAAATCTTTTCTTTTTCTGTGGAGACCTGTGGAGTGCTTGACGTAAATTTTGCTTAAAACTTTTCGTATAAAATTTGCGCAGATCTGTGAGAGATGTAACGATTCTATTTAATTTGCGACAATTTGTAAACTCGAAGTTATTTGCATAATTCTTTGACAAAGAAATTTGCGGCTACATTTATTTTAAAAGATATTTTATATACATTATCGTATAATAATATAAAACGGATTATCGCAAATAAATAAAAAATCATTTTCACAACTACAATGAGTAATAAATTAAATAAATTACTGTACTTACTTGGTTATTCTGCCGTTGGCTGATGCCTCTCCAGGTTTGTTCCTTTTCTCTTGTTCACATTTTCCTGTCTTTTCATGGCACTCACACTCACTCGCGAAAATACGATTAATTAGTGCGCACTAATTAGCAATATGACGATCGCGCGGTATTTTATATACGACACTCCCGATGCAGAATCAATTGTTTACAGCGCAAGCTCTATTAAGTTGTGATTGAAGAGTAATATGGAAACCATATGATCGATTTTCCTGACATTTGAAAATTTCATAATCAAATTTGCGTGCCATTCGCAGCAATGCTACCTCTGTTTTTAACAAATAGCGTTTCTGATCGATTGATTCCACGATTTTATATTATTTAAATAAAAAATGTAAACGCGAGGTATATTCAAATGGAAGCATTAAATAATTAATTAATGATTCTAAATATCGGATTATAATTGTTATTTGCCATTGTTTCGCGATTATTATCTTAATGAATAAATCGCGCGAAATAAATAGTCTTGATAAATAAGCGTCACTTACCAATTATCGCTAATTATTGTAAAAAATGATAGTATATCTCGAAAGATAATATATAAAGAAAATATGGACCGATACGGATGGAAGTCTTTCTTACTCAAGTGTCGCCACGCGAATAATAAAAGAACCGCATGTATTGATATTGTTCAACAATAACACAGGCGAAGATTGAATACTGTGACAATTTATTGCGATTAAATATTTAAGATACGAAGAGATAAACATATGTGGAATATACATACACATATACATACATACACGTATATACACACATATATAATATATTTCTTGAGTTTAAAGTTAATTCTTATATATTAATAATATATATTAATAAGATATATTAATAAAAGTTTAATGTATCTCGCGACTTTTCTTTAGTTAGATATATTAATAAAAGTTTAATGTATCTCGCGATTTTTCTTTAGTTAGATATATTAATAAAAGTTTAATGTATCTCGCGACTTTTCTTTAGTTACTCGATTCTGTAATTCGTATATCATTGTACATTCTGAATCTGAAAAGCAAATTCTCGGCGAAACATGACACGAGATATTCGAAAATATATTAATCAAATAAAACAATAATGTATGTGTATGTGTATGTGTACGATATTTTAATTTCCTTATTACTCTTTAGACATCTAAATGAATAAGTCATCTAAAATAGCTCGCGCTGATTTACTGACGAGTTTACTATTTGCTAATTATAATAATTGTAACAAATGATCGTGTTTTTTGCAATTTGATATACGGAGCGACTCAGTTCAGTCTTTCCTATTTGAGCATTCTCCGACGACTGACGAAACGACTGTACGCATTGATATCGTCACCTTGACAATAGCACGCGGCGAAGGTTAAATACCGTTTGACTTACTACTACGTAATATTTAGGAAATATGCGGGAGATTGACTTACTACTACGTAATATTTAGGAAATATGCTATTATAGAGAAGAGAGACTTTTATTATGGCTTTTATTACAGAGGTGTGATTCCTCGCAGAACTCGGCCACGACTGCCTCTTTTCGGTTCGCAATTCCTACCCCCTCTTTTGGGTCTCATACGTGGCCTAGTCAGCTCACGACGCTCGGCTCATATCCAAAAAATCAACCATCGCGAACATTCGAGATCAAAACACAAAAACGAGGTATTACAATAATAAGGTCAGAGCGCAAACATAATTCGAAAATAATGATTTAACGCGATCGTGGCAAATCCTTCCCTACATATTTAAGATACGAAAATAATGTATGCGGAATATTATACATATATTTCTTGAATTTTAAATTAACTATCAATAAAAAAATTAATTGTAATTAAATTAATATTAATAAATTAATGTATCTCCTGACTTTTCTTTAATCACTCGATTCTGTAACTCATGTATCATTGCGTTTTAAATCTGAAAGTGAATTATTTAGCAAATTATTGGCGAAATATATATATCTAATATATATATATAAGCTTTTTGTATATTAAATTAATTTGAATAAACAAGGTATTATTGCGTATTCTAACTTTTATTTAAAAAATAAAATTTATTTTTGTTTTTATTGAAAAAGATATATATAATAAATTTAATAAATTTTAATAAATTTTAATATATTATAAAGAGTGCAATATTCGTGCATTTTTTAGCACGAAACATTTAAAACATTTAAAAGTAATCGCCACAAGAATTTTTAATCGTGTACACGCATATACGA